TAGACTATGTCTACTCGGGACGGCTTACATCAATAAAAACACACCAATATAACGTGCATAAAATCACAAAAAAATACAATTAATCCATATTGGAATGGTGGCTGCAGGTCGAAAAGTCTGTAGGTCAAGGCTCCATTGACCTACAATGCATTGAAAACTGATTAATCCGTAAACTGCCACTTTTGTTCCATATCCATTGACCTACACTGGTCTGTAGGTCAATTCTCCGGCTGCAAGTCGAACCTAAATTTTGCGGCCAGAGAAGTCCATAACTCGAAAAGTCTGTAAGTGGAGCCGTCTGTAAGTCGAGGGTCCACTGTATTGGAAGGCAAAGGCAGAAACACAACATAGCAAATAGTGTTTTATGCCAGTTCAACAAGTCTCATTTATTTGATCTGTAGCACCAACCTGGAGGTTTCCACCAGACTGCCTATTGTCTCTTTGTCTTATGAACTTATATATTATAGCCCCTCAGCACAGAAATGCACTTTGTTAGTAATATCTGGTGCTCTTAATTGGATGACCAACCATTTCTTTCTCCTTTCATATGGTTCCAGAACACATTGATATATGTTACTTTTTAAGAAAAAAGAAAGCTGGCATTTGAAACACTGTAGCAGGTCCCTTGAGCACATTTCATGTTCTACCTGCCTGCTATGCAGCTGTTAAAGATCAGGAATGTAGTCACAAAACAAAGTAGCTAATTAGATTAGGCAGAAAACAGAACAACACTTTATTTATTTATTCATTCATTCATTTAAAATATTTTTACCTTGCTTTTCTCCTAAGAAAGGACCCAAGGAGTCTTACATCTTTGAAACACAATATTAAAGCTAAAAACAGTGAATCATTCAAATATTAAAGGAATTAATGATATTAATAATATTATATTAAGAATGTTAGGTAACGCATTACTAAAACACATTTCAAAGGAACACAATGCAAACCATCTCATTTTAAAACATCTCCTGGACAATTTGTCACTAAGGGAAAGCTTGCCTGAAGTGAAAGCTGTTTAGGAATTTATAGGTTAAAACTAGTGCTTTGAATAGGTGTGACTTGGCAACCACCAAAACCTGGATATCCAGGCGCAGAGAGGAGTCCAGAAGTGCACCTAAATTGTGAAGCTGTGTTTTCAGGGAGAGTGTAACCATTACGTTACAGGCTGGATTCTTGTTCTTTGATCTGCCTTTCATCTGACCAGGAGTACTTCTGTCTTGTCTGGATTAATTTTCAGTTTATTCACCCACTTCCAGACCATTACTGATATCAAAGAGTGATATAGTACTGAAATAGCTTCCTTGGATTTTTTTAAAAAAATTATTTATTTTCCATTGGGTCAGGGAAGATCGCAGGAAAGGGGATTTGGAACAAGTAATAGCGTCCTTGGATTTTGATGGGAAGGAAAGATAAGAGTTGGGTGTAATTTTCATTTTGGTGACAATGAACCGCAAAACTCCAGACAACCTCTCCCAGTGTAGATGTTAAATAGCATGGGGGACCGGTGACAATGAACCGCAAAACTCCAGACAGCCTCTCCCAGTGTAGATGTGAAATAGCATGGGGGACCAAAAAAAAGTGTCCCCAAGTCCCATCCCAGAAGGACATCATGGTTGATGGCATCAAAAGCTGCTAAAAGGTCTAGCAGAATCAACAGAGACATTTTCAGCACACGTCATCCACCAAAGTGGTCCCATAACCAGACCTGAAGCCAGGATTAAATGCATTTCGATAATCTGTCTTGTTCAGGGAGCCCTGGAGCTAAGAAGCCGCAGCCCACTTTATCACCTTGCCCAAGAATGGAACACAAGGGACTAGCTGGTAAAGATTCAATAGGACGGGATCCATGGAGGGCTTTTCAATGATGATCTCACTATTGGCTTCTTTATGCATGCTGAGACCCTAACCTGCTACAAGAACGCATTCACTGCTCCTCCTACCTACTCAGCCCGTTCCTCTCTCTCTTGAGCAGTTTTAATAAGCCGAGAAAGGCAAGTGTCCAACAGACATGTGGTAGTCTTCACCTTGACCACATTGTAAGGCTGCAGAAACTGAAACGTATCCATTAATACAAAAGTAGCATGGGGGGGAAAGATAGTTACTTCTGCAAGACCTGGATCAACTGCAACATCCAAGTCAGAGCAGATCCCAGTGATTTTGCCTGTAAATCTAAGCATTTGAATTTAACTGGTTGAGTTGATGCACTGGCTGGTTTCACTTTCTTCCACATGCTTTTTTTAAAAACTTTTCTCATGAAATTATGAAGAAATTCTTTTTATTATTTTAACGGAGAATTTCCAGATCTCTCACTGGATAAACAACGATAGAGCTGATAACAATGGCTCAGACATGAGGACGTGAGATATGAAATGGTTATATCAGGTGAGGGAGGAAAATACACTGCCTTGAGGACCTGCCCATTTTCTACATAGAGCCAAGCATTTCGTTTGGGACTGACCTGGCCATTTCAATGCAGATCACTTCATCTTGGAGAAGAGAGGAGAGTGGGGTCCCAAGAGAACAGGAAAGGAGATGTGGAGGGGAAAGGCATTAAAACCGCATCTCACTTCCTTTTTACACCTCTCCTGCCCAGGTACTTGGGGAGAGAAGCTGTGAGGACATAAGGGGGCCTGCACACCTTGATCCAGGTGCCCATTTGTCTGCTAAAATCATAGTTCTCTGGCCTTTTCCTTTCAACATAAATAATATGAGTAATTCCAAGTTCAAACATGCGGATCTAACTGTCACAAGTTTGGCTCTCAATCTGAAAGATGTTTGAAGGGTTGAGGACCATATGGCTGATCTCCAGGGACTGGATCTTGCCGTGCCACTCAGCATAGCAGAGCTCATATTGCATTCAGGTAAACCCAATGTTCTGTCAGCAGTAGCTACAGTACTTGTCCAAAGTAAGACACGCTCTGATTCAGTTCTCTGAGTTACAGTCCTAACTTTAACAACAAAGAGCGTATTACTTTTTAAACTTAATTTGTTCAGCTCTTTATGGTGCCCTCAAGAGTGAATTTATTTCTTCCATATTTAGAAATATTTGTTGAAATGGGCTTTTCACCACCATCATGGAACCTGGCCTTTTTGGTCATTACTGTATTTTGAAAACAAGCATCTTCATATTCAAAGCAGTACAATGGCTCCCTATTTCAGCAACATGCCTACAATAAAGAATAGGCCATTTAATGGCTTTAACAATGACAGGGATTTCTTGTCACAGTTTTGTTTCCTCTAATGGGATACACTGTGTTCTCTGAGGAGAGAGTTGGGGGAGGCTGGAACTAGATGGTGTATCTCTGGCTCTCTCTAGTTCAAGGCTTCCATTTGCAATTTTGATGTTTTTCCTACTCCCCCCCCTACTTTCCATCAGCAGATTCTTGTTGCATTTTACACTGGGTTATGGCCCTACCAAAGCAAAAGTACTGTGATATTTCCCTGGCTTAGCACAGAAGAGCTGAAGATGTAACTTTCCCTTGAGACAAATGGGAACTATAAGTCTTTCCCAGTAGCTGGAACGATGCCCTACATGCTTTCTTCTTGATGTCAACGACTGGTATAGAGGGTGATCATCACTGAACACCTGCCAAGGGACCATGCCCTGTCAAAGCCACCCGGCCCTGTTCCTTCTCTTCATCACTGCAACCTGGCTGTTGGAGTTGCTCAGAGTAGGGATATATAAAGTAGGAGCAGTAGAGTTCTGCTTTGCTTGTCTGCCTCGCAACAATACTTAGCAGTTGCAATAATGAGAAGGAGAAGAGCACTAGCCGCAAGAGTGGGGGTGAGAAGGAAAGCTCACTGAGAGAGGGGGGCCCACCAAACCTCAGAGCCAACCCTGTTGACAGCACGTTCCATTTGCCTTCCTTTTGTGTTTTTTTGCTGCCCCTTCCCCCATTTTTCCCCACCACCATGACTTCTTTTGATTGGCAGCTCTGGATGACATCCTTCTGGAAGCAGCCTGCCAGCCCTTTGTTCTTCCTGCTTGAAGAGCTGAGTAGCTTCTTCTGCTTCCTTTGTTCCAGGCCATCCTTTACAAATAGGCACACACGTGAACATCATCTACTGAGCACAGCTGATTCCTAGGTGCTTAATTTTTATTAATGAATTAATAACATTTCTATATCACACAACCGCTTGAGCTTTGAAAATGCTATCATAAGCAAAGCAAACACTTGATGCCAAATTGCAAATGTTGCAACAATCACACAAAATGTTATAGGCATGTTAAAATAATCATTAGCTGTATGTCCTGCAGTAGCTTGACTGGACTAATCTGAAACAGAGAAAAAAAAATCTGTGAGCATATAGTGCCCTGATATTATGTGAAATTTAATTATGTAAAAGAGCTGCTTTCATGGCCATTTCTCTCTATGAAGGGACTGAAAATGTAACTTTGAAACATGTGGTAGAACCAGGCATGTATGGGTATGCTATTTTTGCTGTTAGATTAGTAGGGCAATGACATAAACTGCTGTTCCCCCCAGACTTCTCTATTTCCCAGAGTTTGGCTGCATCGTATATGGGGATGGGAGCAGAAGCAATATATAGCCGTAAGCTGTTCATAACATAAAGCAACGTATTTTATTACATTTTACTCTTGAAGAGCAAATTAAGACCTACTAGCCTTGCAAAAGACCTACCATAACCATTTTATTGAATCTGACTCTTGAAGAGCAAATTAAGACCTACTAGTCTTGCAAAAGACCTGCTGTTGATGCAAATGAAAACTACCATAACCATTTTATTGAATCCAAGCCCACTAGTGTTTGTGTTGATGGGAAAGCAGATTTCTGGAAAATCTTGAACATGTTCTCTTATACTTTCTGGGGGAAATGTCACATCCCAGTGCCCCTTTCTTATGTTTCTCCAGCCAAAATCTAAACAATGAATTGTTTGCCAACTCATTAGTCTACGTCTGAGAGCTGATCCTAATGAATTGGATTTTGCACTATGTACTGCCGCTGTACATGTGCCTGTATGTTTGCATGGCATACATATGCATGGTAAGTCAAATTGATTATCATACCTAGATTTTTGGACCTTCAGTATGATATGGATACCGTCAAAATTTACCCCTGTTCCTCTGTTTGCAAGTGTTTGCGTCCTCCTTAATCATCCTCCACCCCCACCAATGGCTACTGACTGGCATAAACAGAAACATCTAATTTGATGGGAGCATGGTGGATTTTTTTTATTCTTAAATATCTGGTATCTTGTAAAGACTTTATTTGTTTCAAAGTAAGGCAATATTCCAGCCCTTAAATATGCCACTCCCTTGCATCATTTTTAAAAGGTAGACACAGGGACACAGCAATCTCGCCTTGCTTGCATTTGGTTCTGTCCAGCTGCTTTGAGCCTGACGTTCCCTTACCTTCTCGGCCCACCTGACAGACAAACCCACTGCAGTTTTGTAGTCAGTTCTGCACTTTCCACATTCTTATCTTCGGCAGTTCACAATTACCACCCACACAAACGTGTCGAGTTTATTTTAAAAATCAGAATTGTTTTTAATGTTTGGGGATTCAAGAAGTGGTTAGTGAGGTGTTCCCAGCCATCCAGGGCTGTAGTCAGCCAGCCTCACCTGAGACAAGAGAGTATTCCCTCTGAGAAGGATCCTGGAGAGAAGGCTGTATATTTGACAAAAACACTGGGCTCACACAGCTGAGACTATATCTGTGTGCACCCTCTGATAACGGTATCTGGCAGTAGGCTTTCTCCAGCCATCCTGTTCGGGAATGGGGCCACCTGCAGGTGTCAGAGGTCTGGAGTATGGATATCTGTGTGCCATGACCTAAGGGGTGTAGCCTCTTTCCTTCTCTGACAGGCCCCACTGGGGAATGTTGCCCTCCTCCAGCAATCCTCTCCCTTCTGCTATCAAGGGAGCACAACAGCTCTCAAAAGGTGCTTAAGTAGCAGAGGACAGTTGAAAGGCAAAGGAAATTCTTCACATCCAGACTCTAGTATTGGATTTTTCTAGATGTTTGGATAACTCACAGCAGGGCTGCAAAGACTGGATTCCACTTGTAAAAAAACCACCCAGCTTTATGTTATTGACTATCATTTTGGAAGTAATGATGAAATACTTAACATGACTGCAGGTTAGCATTGTAATGAGAGCATCATGTCTTTCTTTAAAGAAAAATTCTACAGGAATAGCCCGAAGCTCAAGGAGAGGGTCGCCTGATCCCCCAGAGGTGCTTGAACTACAAGAATCTAACCTGGTAATTCAACCACAAATGCTTCCTAGAGACATTGTACTCACTTCTGTTTATACTGAAAAGAAGATGAGGGGGGAAAAAAAGAGCCTCACCCTGACACGCTTATTCATTTTAACTTGTTTGTTGAAAAACAGAGGGGAAACTCACCCACAGCTCTGGTTCCACCTCCTTCACTGTACTGGGGGATGAGGGGAATGCTCCTGTCAACACACATGCCATTCTTACAAAGCTGCTTCTTTGCTGGTTTGCTACAAAGAAGTACCTGAAAGTCCATCTCCAATAAATGGTCACAGAATATGAACTAATTGAAATAGTACACAGCAGAATTATCAGGATCCATCACATCTATCAGTTGCTTTATTTTGTGGATTTGACACACCAGTAACTGCATTCCTGTGATTTTAAGCCCTGGGAATGACTTCATAAAACATCAATATAATCAGCATTTATTTATGCAGTCATTAAACTGAACTGAAAGCTCAGTCTGGCTTCAGAGCTAGTTACAGGACAGAGACCGCTTTGGTTGTCTTGGTGCACAACCTGCACTGCTGGGCTTCTCAACAGCTTTCAATATCCTTGCCCATGGTTTCCTCTTCTGGGATGGAACTTCAAGGCACTGCTCTACAGTGGCTCCAATCCTCCTTGAAGGGGAGAACTCTGAACACCTCGGGCTTGTGGCATCCCTCAGGATTCTGTTTTCTCCCCCATGCTATTTAACATTGTAAGTGCCATGACCTCCAACAAGGGTAGGGTCCGTCTGATCTGGGCCCCAAGTTAACTCCAATGGGGCCTTCAGTCATGACGCTGGCCTTTTCCAAGGTGAACAAAATGTGGCCACTTCAAGCAAAGATCACTTATAAAGTCTGGTTCTTCTCACACTCCATGCTTCCCCCATGGTGGCTGCTGCTGTTACTACGGAGGATGATGACTGTCTTTCACATCCACAGTGGGGTTCAGCTGGCCCTCAGGGAGTCATGATCACCAATGGGTGCCTTGAGGTAGCTGCAGCGGGCAGGAAACTGACTTGGGCACCTCTTGTCCTCAACCTGGCCCTTGGGAAGCGGGAACTGCACCAGGACCCCTGTTCAGGGGTCCTTCAAACAGATATAGTCTACTACCTCATTGGCATTCAGCATCCCTACCAGTTCGTCACAAGCATCTCTGTATCCCTTCATCCTCCATCTCAAAGCGGAACTGCACCAGGACCCCTGTTCAGGGGTTCTTCAAACAGATATCGTCTACTACCTCATCGGCATTCAGCATCCCTACCAGTTCGTTACAAGCATCTCTATATCCCTTCATCCTCCATCTCAAAGCTACAGTATCTGCCTTGTTTTCGCCTGCAGGCAACAGGTGTCCCTCCTCTCATCCTGAGCCTTCACAGCTTCCTGCTGGGCTCCCTTTAAGGCATCCAGCTGGTAGGTCGCACTTCTCTCTTCCTCTTTTCCCAGGTGGCTCTCATGGGCCCCCTGACTTTCTCCCCCTCCCTGGCCAGCCAACTCACCTCAGTACCCATCCTATAAGCAGCTACATCTGGTGGGTCTGACAGGGGGAGCAGAATGAGGGCAGATGGCCCACCCGTGGTGCCAGTGGCAACACCCTTCACAAATATAGACATGAAACTACTGGAAGAGGTTGCCCAGAGCGTTAAGAGTCACTGCCACCAATATGCTGATGACACTATTTCTCTTTTCATTCCAATTCCAAGGAAGCAGGTGACAGTAATAGGATGGATGAGGGCAAACAAACTGAAGCTTAAACCAGACAAGGCAGAGGTGCTCCTGGCCAATGCAAGGACAGATGAGAGAATAGGGATTCAAGCTTTTTTGGATGGGGCTACTGACCCCCTGAAAACTCAGGTCTGTAGACTGGGTGTATTCCTGGACATATTCCCTGAGCCTGGAAGTTCAGGCTTGGGCAGTGGTCAGCAGTGCATTCGCAGAGTTAAGACTGGTGAACCAGCTGCACACATTATTTGAGATGTCAATTTTGCTACACTGACACGTGCCTTAGTTACATTCTATTTGGACTACTGTAATGCACCCTATGTGGGGCTGCCTCTGGAAAGTGTTTGGAAACTTTACCAGGTACAAAATGCTGCTGCCAGATTGTTAACTGGAACAGGTTACAGGGATCACATAGCTTCCCTGTTACAACAACTTCTACAGGCTGCCAGTCAGTTTCTGGGCACAATTCAAAGTGCTGGTTTTAATCTATAAAGCCCTAAGCAGTTGGGTCCAAGCTATCTGAAAGGCCCCATCTCCATATACAAGCCTGCCTGGATTTTAAAATAATCAGGGAAAGTATTTCCCTCCATCCTGCCATCCATATAAAGATTTTTACATAAATACATAATAAAAAAGTATAAATACTGTATATTCATATAACAATATGCATTGATCGCAATACACACAGCAGCAGAAATGTATCTGTCCAACGGGGTGGTAAATACAAGACAGCACTGTTGTGATTAGATCGTACATTTAACATTCTGAAAAATGTAAGTTTTGTATTTTTATTTTATCTTAATATGATTTCCAGAATTTGAAAAGTGTGTGTGAAATGACCAAAGCCAGAGCACTCTGTAGCTACTGCTACGTTCTTGTAATCTGTTAAATCAAGGCAAAGGTTTGGTAATCTATTATGTCCTGGAAATTCAGTTGAATTCAAACAAGCACTTGGGGGCTGCATGCCAGCAATGAGTGAGACTCACCACCACTACTGGAATGTGCCCCCCCCCAAAAAAAGATACGTTGGGCTTCACATGACTCTCACCTTCCAGGATCAAGGATGGCAAGAGGCAAGTGGCAGCTCAATAGCTGAGCTGGCATCTCTCAACCAGATCAGTGATTGCTGGATATGGACTGGAGATTGAGGAGCAGACAGCCTGTGACTCTAGCTGCCCTTCTTTAAGTGAACAAGTATAACCAAAATGGAATAAAAACAAAAGTTTGGTTAAGGTAGTACCTTAAGAACAGATGTATTTCAGCATGAGCTTTTGCCTCTTTCCTCAGACACATGGAGGGAAACTGAAGGGACTATTTATCCACAGGTACATACACACAGTGTACACATAATGAGGCTGGGGACATGCAGTGTTACATCAATTAATTATGTGCCACCAAATCAGTGCTGACTTAGGGTGACCATGCCCATGTATTCTAGGTATAAATAACTCACACATGATTCACCAGCCTTTCACGAGGATGTTCTGGGGTGATGCAGCTTCGCTAGGGCTGCACAGCCTGGATCTTTTCCCAGGGGGCACATCTTTATGACTAGCAGGAGAATAAACTGATACCTGTAAAGGTAAATCTGCAATCCTACATACAGGGCAATAGTGTATTGGTGAACTATGAAAAATTTCCCATGACCTCCAAGCATATCTTCATTATTAGAGGCACTTTGCTTATATCCACATAGATAGAAATGTAAGGCAGTCCTCAAATTCTACCAAAGTATCTGCAGTTCCCACCCCAAACCACCTCCCATTTTTGCAGAGTATAGATCTCACCCTTACATACTGGAATGGAAGCAGACACTTCAAACACATGGAGAGCTGTGGGGAGACTGGCTGGGGTAATTATCTCAATTCATCGGGCTCCAGTGTGGCACCCAAGAGAAGGCTCTGTGGCACAAGAATAGTTTCTATCCCTCATGGCCAGGGTTTGGCCCAAAGTGGACTTCTTTACTTTCTCCTATGTGGGGGTGCACTGCCTTTTGGGCCCTAGGGAACTGCATGCGATGCTGGTCTGGGGCCACACCCCTTGGGTGTGAGGACCACGCACTGGCTCTCTTGATACAGATGATTTTTCCTTTACAGCTGGCAGGCAGTGGGAAGGAAAGAACAATCTCACCAGGGGTCTCTAGCAAAGAGGCTGGAGAGCTTTTAGGTAAAGGTTAAGGTTCCCCTTGACAATTTTTGTCCAGTCATGTTCGACTCTAGGGGGCGGTGCTCATCCCCGTTTCCAAGCCATAGAGCCAGCGTTTGTTCGAAGACAATCTTCCGTGGTCACATGGCCAGTGCGGCTTAGACACGGAACGCTGTTACCTTCCCACCGAGGGGGTCCCTACTGATCTACTTGCATTTGCAAGCTTTCGAACCGCTAGGTTGGCGGGAGCTGGGACAAGCGATGGGAGCTCAATTGGAGAGCTTTTACCTGAGTTAAAATCAGTGGGAAAAGTTTAGCAACAGCAGCAGTGGATCAGGCCATCCCTGACGAGTGCAGTAAAGACCTTAAGGGCATCAGGTTGTGTACCTTTGAGCCATGTAAATACAAAAACAGATGCAGGGTTGTCTTGCCCAAGGCACTGGCAAGCCATAGGGCTGAGATGGGAAGGCATCACCCTTGTCTCTCACCCACCCCTCTTGTACAGTCAGTAGTGCCCCCTTTCCACGATTCTATGCAGGCTGAGCAGGCCCTATGCTCAAGGAATGTCCGTCCACACATGCCTGCATGCCCCCCCCCCCCCCCCCGCCCCATGCAAGCTTAGGTGGTGCGTGAGAGAGAGGAGCTCCTTCGGTGGGGTGGCCTGAATGGGCCCCTGAGACCTCCCAGGAGGCGGGACCTCCAGCACCAATCTCGGGTGGGACGGCTCAAGGCTCCTCGTCCACGTCACGGAACTTTCCATTGCAAACGCAGGATCCAGGCGTGCACGCCCGCTCCATCCTTGGGGCGCCTGAGCTCGCGAACTCTGCCCGGGCCTCTTTCCCACCCTTCCAAGTTGGGAGACTTGAAACGCGCTCGATCCGAGCAGACACCCCACACAAACCACTTACGCCGGTAAAGCACGTTTTCTTTAAACGCGGAGAGAAGTCCTTCTGAAATGCGGACACCGATTCGTTTTTTAAGCACACGTGAATTCAGAACCTTCGGGACACGTTTTCCTTCTGAGAAAAAAAAAAACAGTGCACCGCTCCGGACTGGGACAGGGTCTCTCTGAGGCTGTTTTTCTCCCCGCTTTCTCCAGGTGGGAAGACGAGGCCATCCCTCGCCGCCGCCGCCGCCGCCGCCAGCCTGGCTCGTGTTGCCCCGCGAGCAGGGCGAAGAGGAGGGGGGAAGGAAAGGAAGAGAGAGGGCTGGACTGGGAGACGGCGGGGGGGGGGGGGGGGGGG